TCGTCCTAACATGATAAGAGAATTTTAGAAAATTGAACAAGAAGCTAAGCTATGTAAAGCTAGAATTCACACACACACACACACTTACATATGAGCTGAGCATCAAACAATACATGTGTTTCCGTTAATTTATCTCTTATTTGCAAATCCATTAAAGAAGGAAATTTTTATTTTGTATGGAGAGTATAAATATGACACGATCCATATATGGGGATTCACATTTAATCCATATATCATATTCCGTATATGTTTGTTTATTTGTTTCCTTAACTGGAGGAACTGGAACCATAAAGATATGGAATGTTTTTTTATTTTATTTTTTCTGGTTTCTTTTGATTTTTTTCCTCCCCAAAATCTTGTCTCGCCTCTTTTTCTAATAAAAAAAATTTAATTAAATGGGACTTTGACCATGTATAATTATTTATGTTCCAATTATAGTTTATCATGAGTATAATTTGCTACATAAATTGCATTCATTAATAAATGTAATACGGAGTAATATATAAAAATAAATAGAAACATGTAAAACTGTGACACGTAACTAATGAGTAAGAATGTCAGGATCATTAATTACCATTTAACAGGTGGCGTTATTAAACTTTAATATTTTGGAAAGACAATTTAACGGGCGTGTTTAATTTTAATATTGTTATGTTAAGTTAATATTCTATGCCGGTAAAACATTATTCAAAAACTAAATCTAATAAAAAAAAGTTTTTGCCTAAAAATGTTGCTTTAAAAAAAGATGCCTTCTTTTTTTGTACTTTGTAAAAGCTTTGTGTGTGAATTCATATTATTTGGTCAAGCTACTGATGAAAACAAGAGAGTTCTATGCTTCTATATGTTTTTTTTCGCCAACTTTCTCTTGGTTAACCTTAACACGATCAAGAAACAAAGCAATTGGTATAATGAAGGCTGGCCAAACCATTCATTATGGTTTTTCTTAATGTTACGGAGTACAAAGCAAAAACTTCTTGAACCAAACATAGGGTAATGGAGAAAAAAGGAAAACATAGCTAGACACATTTTTTGTATTTTCGGGTCTTTTGTTTAGTCACTTGAAGGATGGAAACATTACATTAATTCTTCACACGTAAAGTACCTTTGTATAACGGTGAATGATGAAAGCCATTAGCTGGCGAAACGCCTAGGTGCTAATAGGCTCTACAAGTGAAGCAATATATCCGAGAATTGCAATTCGAGCATTCAACTTGGAGAAGTCCTTTGATCATTTCAATTCCACCATAACGGAGTCCAAAACAGCAGCAAAGAAGACAGAAGTATGTGCCTAAAAGAACAAAAGCTCATTAGTTGAATAGGTGATGGTAATACTTGGATAAAAATGAATGAGGGAGATGAATTTGTTGATATTATCCTTGAATAAGCTGAATTATAAGAAACAATCTATTGTCATCAATGGCACACTTCTATGTTTCATAAGTTGAGTTGGCATCACCAGATATCTTGTCATTCACGTAACCTCTATAAAAAGCAAGTCATTGACGACAATAGATGTTAAAATTATAGCTAGAACATGACGGTGTAATTTTCTTCTCCGTTTTATCCAATTTCACCAAAAAAATGCACTAATATATTCTATTATCAGTTGGTCCAGCCAACAATCCTTGAAAAGCTCATTTAAGTCAGTTCAGCACAAACCAAATTAAGAGAAAAATAATGGACTTTGTAAAACAGCCACACCAAGTCAAGAGAATACGGACTAACCTCCTTGTTTACAAATATGTTTTTGCCCAAGAGAATCTCGATAGTCTAAAACAAAGAAGGTACATTAAAGGTTAGAAACACGACAAGGGTTTGGTAACTGCAGCTTTGACATCAGACTGAGCAAAAAACAATTCCAAAAATAGCATTTCTTTCAATCTACCTTTAGAGTTGGTGTGGTGACCCTATCACATCTTTTATACATTTGAAGAGCCCAAAGAATGTCATTTCTGACGATTGAATTGAAGGTAATCCGTTAAAGCAGCAATGGCTACTTTTATCAAAGAATCGAGCAATCCACCAATAGAGATAACCAATCCAGAAACCACGTATTTACTATAACAATTGATCCCAAGTAACTGAATGAAACGAGGATATTTACTATAAACTGCTAGGATATCAAACTGAAAAAGGTAACAATCAATACCCTTTGCTACTTCCTAGAAATTTATGAATTTTTAGTCGGACAATGTCCCTTTTTTCTTCTTCAAATACGCACGTCTTTGTTTCAACTTTCGTGTAAACCTTGATTTTGTGTAATTTGGGCCTATTTGATGAATAATACATTATCTTAGCTCTAGCTTCTTCATCTTGAGTTAACGTTTCGTTTGGTGGCTGAAAGTGGCTTATTATGCATCAAATGAATGCCAGGATATGGACCTTTTGACTTATTTGGCTGGAATGGATGTCACCAAACACTTCACTTTTCATAAAATTCAGCCATTTCAACAACAAAAAAAGAACCTTACCAACTGAGCTGTTAGCATTTTAAATATATTTTATCAGCTAAATTATCTAAAGCCCTCTCAATAAAAATACCTTTGGGACGAATATTGATGGTAATTTAGTACGGACAACCCCCTATTCCTACTAATTTAGCCCTCTCTATAAAGTCACCATGTCTATTGAGACCATGATCGCAGCTCGATCAAGAAACCTGCTTGTTTAGATAAAAGCAATATCTAACCACATATTAGTGGAAAAAACTATACTCTGGCACCTAAGGAATCCCATGAACCAAATATATTAGTGGAAAAAACTATACTCTGGCACCAAAGGAATCCCATGAACCAAACAAACCCTTAGTGTTTGTCATGTATGAAATGTGGGGCAGCCTAGTCCCAAAGGAGTGATCCTTAGCAATTTAACAAAAAACAAAGTTGCATCAAGAAAACCAACTTACTGACCATTTGTCCGAGAGATTCTTTTGTTGCAATTATGTGCACTGCCATGAGCTTCATATAACCCATCGACCCCAAGATTGGAATTAAAGGTGATGATGATTGTTTCTTAGGAGGGCATAACCTTCTAATTCTTGCACGTGATCTTGGTGATTACATTCAACTTCGAACCACAATTGATGATGCAATTGGTGAGGCGTATGACAAAAAAAAGCGAAATGGCTTGGGCTTGATTTGAGGAAAAATGGGGGCCCAGCTATAAGAAAAATAGAGAAACTAGCTCTAGTGGGTAATGCAGATTCTGTTAAATTTAATGTAAGTCACATGAATATACCCATAGTCAATAATACAGATTCTGTTACAATTCATGTTAGTCACATAAATTGTATGTCACATAAATATACCCATAGCTTATCTTCATGTCTCTTGTTTGAGTTTGTTTTGTTATAAAGGTTCTAATGAAACAATACAAACACTGTAACTTCTCATATGCTGGTCTGAAGACACAATTGAGGCTCGCAATTGAAGCCAGAAAAATGCATTATGTTCATTAAGGGAAACCATCATTTTACTGTCATTTTAGTGTGTGTGTTTGTGCGTAATGTTCTCTTAAAAAAAGTGCTTTTAGAATGTTTAACTTTTTGTTTATTTGAATTTGACTATTAGAAAAATAATTTCCATTTTATTGGTTTGGAACACAATATTGCAAAACTAGTTTCTTACACTTAATTCTTAATTAACTTTCAATTAGTAAATTTTGTATGTATAGTGTCTAGATGCCAGAATACCCATCTCTTCAGCTTGTAGTTAGGATAGGCAAGGTCGGGCATATATTGCCGCATCTTTTCAGGTTTTAAGTTATGTAAGGCTATGCTTATAACTCATAAAATAGTAGGAAAAGGGGAAAAGTGCCACGGAAAAGATTTTTTTAATGTTTGGTTTTATTTTCATTATACAAAGGAAATTGAAAATTTAATAGAAAATTTCAAAATGTTTACATATGTTTACAACTTGTTACTGTTTACATTTTAGGGGTTGAATCAGGAAAGATATGTAAACAACACACAATTTAACTAAAATTTAGTATTGATTCATTGACTTTGAAGCGTTTTTCTTTTAAAATTTTGTACAAAATTTTTTTTCCTTCCAAAGTTCTCTTCTATTTTCTTTTCCTAACATTTTCTAGTTTCTAAGCAAACCTTAAATGTGTGGTTTGCAAACAAAAGCATTAAACTTCAAGACATGCGGAATGTTTTTCAACTCTTAAAAGTTGATTTTTGAGCCTTCTCCCTCTTCTTATAAATACTAACATAATAAGCCTTGTTCAGGTTGTATTTGGAGGCGTGGCATCAAATAAGTACGTTAGGGAATGCACTTCAGCTTGTGTGTCTTCCCTCTTTATGCACCGACAATGATGAGTAGTATGTTATTCCTTTGGTAAAAATAAGTCATAGTGTATCAGAGGGTGTTTGGGAAAGTGTTTGAAAATAGTTTTTGAGCTTCTACTTCATTGGAACGCAATTTTAAGTGAAAATAGCTTTTGGAACGGAATGAACCGGCTGGGGTCAATGATCCAGTCAACTATAATGAAAATAAAAATATTTTTTAACATATTAAAATTAATACTGGTAATTAATAAAAGTATTTAATCTTGTTTTTTTTCAACCTACTCTTTAATGTCATTTTCATATATTACTCTTTCACACCTTCTATTTTTAATTTTTATTAGTATTTTAGACTTTTTAATTTTATTGAAACAAGAAAAAAATACAAGAAAAATTGTGTTCATTTCTTTATTATCAAAAACTATTTTGACAATTCTTAAAATACCATACACATAGATAACACTACTTTTAAAAGAACATGCATATAACTATCTTCTTTAAACTTTGGAAGTTTTCACTTTTGTACATTAGCTCATTTACTAGGAGTTAATCTAAAATAAAGAAAATAAAATGAATAGCTAAAAAGTTGATTTTTTATGGAAAAAAATAAAACATGATTGAGCCTAAATCAAGAGTACATACTGATCAACCCTAAAGCCAAATTACATACCTAGACAATACTAAAACAATATAGCTACATCTAACCCTATTCGAGCCACTTGAAAATGGCCAAGAGTCAAGCCTCTAGGTCGTATTCGTCCGTCAGAACCGCGGCATCACTCCACTAGGCCGAGACTTTGAGGACATGGTAGTTGTGTGCAATGTCCTGAAACGAAGAGGGGTTGGCACAATGGTATAATGACAGAGAAGGGGTGTCTCCGCAGTGGTAGCTTGGACTTCCAATCTCGAACCGGGAACTGCTGCGGTCGTTAGCGGCGGAGCAGATAGTCATTTCGACCTGTTGGACCTTCGTCATAAACGAAAGATGGCGGCAGACAGGGCAGGTCTCATTCTCAGAGAGCCACTTCCAAATCAGTCTCCATGGAAAGCATGGAGGCACAACGGGAGGCGTCGAAGCCAGTCGTGCTACTCGAACTCCGAAAAGCAAATTGGGCACTCCACATTGGTCAAACTGAATCGAATGTGAAACCTGAGAGCTCCTCCACGTTAGAAGCAGGGGGTGCAGATAGGGAAGGAAGTGCTGATAGAGATGGAGGTGCGAAGATGGGTGAGGATGAGGATGCGGGGTGTGGGTGTGGCGACGGGTGTGGTGCCGCACATCCGATGCCCACGAGGAAGCATCCGTCGAAGGAGATGTGTGAGGATGCCAACGATGGTAGAAGACTCACTATAATGAAGTCTGCCTTTAAATAGGAGTGGGTAACGATTGCGTGATGTGGGTCGGGAAGGTTGCTACCGCCACCCATGAGCATGAGTGAAAATGAAAAGTCTTACAAGCTAGTAGTGAAGTGTTGAAGTGAAGGGATGGGGAGAAGAGTGTCTTCTATTGTCTGTACTGCTAAAGTGAAGGGTTAGGGAGAGGGAGAATAGAAGACTTCTTGGGAAGGTTCAATAGAAGAATCTCAGGAATTGAAGCTTTTACTTTTAATAGGATAGGCCTTCTCTATGAAAGAGATGCTTAAGCAGTAAAATTTGAAAAGTGAAAGGAACGGTAGTTGGTTCTCTACTCAGACTACGACTATTATATAGATACAAAGTGAAGGAGATAGGGGAGAGATAAAGGTGTGAATAAGCAAAATATACTCCCTCCGTCCACAATTAAACTTCCCACTTTCTTTTTTTCATCCGTCCACAAATAAACTTCTCATTTCCTTTTTTGGAAACTTTTTTATGTTAAAAAGACTTTGTTACCCTCCCTACTCCTTATTATATTCTTTTTTCTCCGGTCCAGGGCAACAACCACCCCTCATTCTTCTTCTTTTTCTTTTCTTCTTCCTCTTACTTTCAATTCTGTTCTTTTCTTTTATTCATCTTTCTTCTTTCCCCACTCTTCCTCCTCTTTCCTTTTTCTTTTTCTTTCTTCTTTTCTCTCCCTTCTAATTCTATATTGCCTTCCTTCTTCTTTTCTTCTTCTTCTTCTGCTTCCTCGTGGGCATCGGATGTGCGGCACCACACCCGTCGCCACACCCACACCCCGCATCCTCATCCTCACCCATCTTCGCACCTCCATCCCTATCAGCACTTCCTTCCCTATCTGCACCCCCTGCCTCTAACGTGGAGGAGCTCCCGGGTTTCACATTCGATTCAGTCATGGTGTGTTTGACCAATGTGGAGTGCCCAATTTGCTTTTTGGAGTTCGAGTAGCACGACTGGCTTTGACGCCTCCCGTTGTGCCTCCATGCTTTCCATGGAGACTGATTTAGAAGTGGCTCCCTGAGAATGAGACCTGCCCTGTCTGCCGCCATCTTTCGTTTATGACGAAGGTCCAACAGGTCGAAATGACTATCCGCTCCGCCGCTAACGACCACAGCAGTTCCCAGTTCGAGATTGGAAGTCCAAGCCACCACTGCGGAGACACTCCTTCTCTGTCATTATACCATTCTGCCAACCCCTCTTCGTTTCAGGACATTGCACACAACTACCATGTCCTCAAAGTCCCGGCCTAGTGGAGTGACGCCGCGATTCCGACGGACGAATACAACCTAGAGGCTTGACTCTTGGCCATTTTCGAGTGGCTCGAATAGGGTTAGATGTAGCTATGTTGTTTTAGTATTGTCTAGGTACGTAATTTGGATTTAGTGTTGATCAGTATGTACTCTTGATTTCGGCTCAATCATGTTCTATTTCTTTCCATAAAACAATCAACTTTTTAGCTATTCATTTTATTTTCTTTATTTTAGATTAACTCCTAGTAAATGAGCTAATGTACATTTGTAAAAAAGTGAAAACTTCCAAAAACTAGTGTTATCTTTGTGTACGATATTTTAGGAATTGTCAAAATAATTTTTAATAATAAAGAAATGGACACAATTTTTTATTGTATTTTTTTATTTTAATTAACTAAAAAGTCTAAAATACTAATAAAAGAAATCAAAATTAAAAATAGAAAGGGTGAAAGCATTCTCCTCCCTCCGTCTCATATCTTTCTTCTCACTTTCCTTGTGAAATTAAATGGAATCAAAATCCATGTATAGTTACCAATTTGCCCTTTCTTCATTTATTCTTTATCTTTCTCCATACACTTCCCTTTCGTTCCTTTTTCTTTGTTCTCGGTCACCCCCCCCCCCCACCCCCATTCTNCTCTTCCCAGCGTGTTAGCGGTGACGAACAGGAGCCCAAATGATTCAGATCTAGAAGTCCGTTCCTCCACCATCTAGGCTTTAGATCCACAGTCTGCCCCTTTCCCAATGCTTGTTCTTCGCCCCCCGTCTTGTCCTCTTCCCAGCGTGTTAGCAGTGACGAACAAGAGCCCAAATGATTCAGATCTAGAAGTCCGTTCCTCCACCATCTAGGCTTTAGATCCACAGTCTGCCCCTTTCCCAATGAAAAGGTTTTGATTTTATTTTGATTTTGGCAAGATCCAAGGGAAAAACTTACCTAGCTTCCATCCATCTTCCTCGGGTGACCAGGTGATGGAATTTTTAGCAACAAAGGTGGGTTTAAAATAGATCTCTCCTTATCTCTTTGATTTTTCTTCAATTTCATTTTGTCTTTTGATTTTGTGGCCAATCTCTTCATCGCGGGAGGTGGCAGTGATGGGGTGGGTTTGAGAAAAACATCACCCACGCGGGGTGAGTTTGAGAGATGATAACGAAGTACATGGATGTCTTCCTTCCAAACTCTTCATCGCAGGATGACGATTTACTTAACAGTAATGATAGAATGGATGAAAAAACAAAAGGGCAAATTTGGAAAGTCAAATAAATTTTAGCATAACATTAAAAACCATGTCAAGTCAAACTGAGAAGTTTCAACATGGATGGAGGAAGTATATGAAAATGACACTAAAAAGTAGGTGGAAAAGAAAAAAGTTGAAGATTAAAAACTTTTCTTAATTAAGACTATTAATTTAAATATGTTAAAAATATTTTTATTATCATTGTAGTTGACCAGATCATTGACCCCAGCCGGTTCATCCCGGTCCAAAAGCTATTTTCACTTAAAATTGTGTTTCAATGATGTGGAAGCACAAAAGCTATTTTCAAACACATTTCCGAACACCCCGTAACACACTATGACTTATTTTAAACAAAGAAACAACATACTACTCACCATTGTCAGTGCTTAAATTAAAGAGAGAGGACAGACAAGCTGAAGTCCATTCTTCTTAACAATCTGATTAAGTTGATCCCTAACGTACTTATTTGATGCCACACCTCCAGAGGCAACCTGAAGAATGCTAATTAAGTTATCACTAATATAAGAAGAGATGCGAGATTGAATCGATGCAGAAAGAACCTCACCAAATGGTTTACGCCAGTTCAATCTTCAAGGCATCTTCAATTGCACGCTTGCACTTATCCTCCAAATTGTAGCACTGCCACTAGCAAAAAGAAAAAGCAAAAAGGGAGAAGGTTGAGAAATTAACTCTATGAAGTTGAAGAACATTCTGCATGCCTTGAAGTATAATGCTTTTTTTTGGGAAACCACACATTTACAATTTGCTTAGAAACCAGAAAATGTTAGAAAAAGACAATAGAAGAGAACTTTAGAAGGAAAAAAAAAATTTTGCACAAAATTTAAAAAGAAAAATGCTTCAAACTCAATGAGTCAATGCTAGATTTTAGTTAAACTGTGTGTTGTTTACATATCTTTCCAGATTCTACTCCCTAAAATGTAAACACTAACAAGTTGTAAACATATGTAAACATTTTGAAATTTTCTGTTCAAATTTGAATTTCATTTGTATTATAAAAATAAAACCAAACAAAAATATATATTTTCCTGGCACTTTTCCCTTCTTCCTACTATTTTCTAAGTTATAAGCATAGCCTTAAATAACTTAAAACCTGAAAAGATGCGATAATATTTGCCCAAGCTTGCCTATCCTCATTAGAAACTGAAGAGATGGGTATTCTGGCATCACTGCAGACAATATACATACAAAATCTACAAATCAAAAGATAATTAAGAATTATGAGTAATAAACCATTTTGCAATATTGTGTTCCAAACCAATAAAATGAAAATTATTTTTTTAATAGTCAAATTCAAATAAACAAAAAGTAAAACATTATGAAAGCACTTTTTTTGAACTTATAGAACTTAGCATTCTTTATAGTAAAATACATTTCATACCACTTAGATGTAAAAAATCCTACCACACACTCTACTGATTTTGTGAAAAAAGACATAAATAATAACTGTGAACTGATGCATTTTTATGGAGCAAAAACATTTTGTATGCATTTCATTAAAAGTGTTAGTATTCACTTTTAGAACATAAATACCTTTTACTGCCAATAGCAACAACTTACTTCACTTGATTCACTTTAATGCAAATAGTAACAACTTGATCTACTTCACTTCATTTCATGACACACCCCTGGAATAAAAAAAACAAATTAATCTTTAACATACATTTCCTGAATTTCAATATTTCATCTCAATATAAATAGAAATTAATGAAACTCACTTGCTAAAAAACTTGTCTTTGGAAAGGAACAGACTTTGGAAGAAATTAATCAAACATTTTTCTGGTTGTAAGGCTCTTAAGAAATATCTAATTATTAACAAAAATGAGCTGAAATTATGAAACTCAAAATATATAAAAAGCTGAAAAATTATACCCAAATCTACGCTTGTTACTCAATCGCCCCCTCAGTTCGTCTCCCGCGCCGTCGTCGCCCCTTTTTGTCTCTCACCGTCGCCACCCCGGAACAAATCTACCCTTCTTGAACAGATCTATCAAAAGCTTCTTGCGATTTGATCAATTAGCTTTGCAATTTGACAAAAATTAGGAAAAAAACAAGGTCGGGAGGAGTTTGACGAAGAAGGAACGTAGAAGCTAGGGTAGAAGAAGAAATTTAAAAGAAGAAGAAGAGGAAGAAGAAGAAAAGAAGGAAGAAGAAGAAGAAGCAGATAGAAGAAAGAAAGAAAGGAGGGGAGGGGTGTTTTAAGGAATGAAAAAACACAACGAAATGGGGGAAGAAACACATCGAAGAAAAAAAGAAAAAGAAAAAGAACAAGAAAAAGAAAAAGAAAAAGAAAAAGAAAAAGAAAAAGAAAAAGAAAAAGAAAAAGAAAGAAAAAGAAAAAGAAAAAGAAAAAGAAAAAGAAAAAGAAAAAGAAAAAAAGAAGAAAAAGAAAAAGAAAGGGGGGGAGGTGGAGTGTGGGTGGGCCGTGGGTGGGGCTGGTTTGACTGGTCTCAAATAAGTGAAGATGAAGAAGGGTAAATTGGTCTTTTTAATAGATTTTATTTGTCAAAAAATGAAAACGGACGAATCAAATGGAATGGCACGAAAGTAAGAACAAAGATATGGGAGAGAAGCAAAAAAGAAGAGTAAATTCCATAATTGGTCCTTTATAACATGGGGGTTTCCATATTTAGTCCTTTATTACTCCCTCCGTCCGAAAATATTCTTCCCACTTTCCTTTTTGGTCCGTCCGAAAATATTCTTCCCATTTCCTTTTTTAGTATACTTTTTAAGGATAAATATCAATAATACCCTTCTATTTTATCACAAATCTACTTTTTTAGTACTTTTTTAATAATAAAAAGAGATTTAAAAGTTTAGGAAAAATTGATATAAATACTCCCAGAAATTCAAAATTTTACAATAATACTCTCAAATTTAATAAAAGACTCTGGTGCTTCCAATTAAACTATAAGTTTACATTACTACTCCCATTATGCCTAATCAGCTTTTCTTGCGCTTACATGTAAGTAATTATGCTTAGTTGACATCTTAGTTGTTGTTTTTTTGTTTTAATAAGAGGAAAAAATTATATAAATACTCCCTGAAATTCAAAATTTTACAATAATACTCTCAAAACCAAATAAAGATTCCAGTATTCTAAAAAATATCTTCCTTTTACGTGTTACGATGTGTCATAAAAATGGTGTGAAATCAAAAAAATAAAATTATATACCTCGTATCAAAAAACTACATTATAAGATCTATAAAACTAGTAATCATATAATTATATTATTTTATCAAATATATAATTAAAATAGGTAAGCAAAGTAAATAAAATTTGATCTTGTTAATACTCTTAATAGTGAATAAGAAGATAAGTTTTGGGCGGAGGGGGTATTTTGTATTAAAATATAAAAAAATAACTAAGATGCCAATTTAGCTCAATTAATTAATCTTTAATATTACTAAAAAAATTATTTTTACATATTACTATATTAGTTTTTTAATATGTAATTTTTATTTTTTAATTTCACACCATTTTTCATATAAAATAGTTTAAAAATAATTTCAGTTAAATATCGTAACGTGCAACGAGAATATACTTTTGGGAGAACTGGAGTCTTTATTTGATTTTGGGAGTATTATTGTAAAATTTTGAATTTCTATGAGTATTTATATAAATTTTTCCTCTTATGAAAACAAAAAAACAACTAAGATGCCAACTTAGCTTAATTAATTACATGTAAGCGTAGGAAAAGCTGATTAGGCTTAATGGGAGTAGTGACGTAAACCTATAGTTTAATTGGGAGCACCAGAGTCTTTTATTAAATTTGGGAGTATTAATGTAAAATTTCGAATTTCTGGGAGTATTTATATCAATTTTTCCAAAAGTTTATAGTATGTGCATTTTTGAAAAATTTACATTTTTTTTACTATTCCTTAATAAGCGTGCCAAGTCAACACAGGAAGAATATTTCCGGACCGAGGGAGTTTCAAATATTACCCTCGTAGTCCTTTTTTTAAGGGTATCTTTCCACAAGTGGTCCTTTGTTTGATCTTCTACTGTGTTGGTGTTAATTTAAAGGCTAAAAGTATAATTTGACATCAACATTATGTCTAGTGACGTGTTCTGATATTGGTTAAACGGATAACAAAAAAATAATGACTATGATTGTGGGCTAGGATTCTGACGAAAGATCATATTTGTAGACTATCGTTGTCGTAAAAAGCGACTGTAATTCACAAACGACGCAAACGGAACAGCCTTTGGAATTGTGTATGACAAAAAAGATATATTATCATTGTGAAATTACACTTTAGCCCTCAAATTAACACCAACATGATAGAAGATAAAAAAAGGACTATTTGTGGAAAGGTATCCATAAAAGAATGACCACTAGGATAATATTTGATAATAGAAGACTAAATAGGGAAATTCCTGTGTTATAAAGGATCAATTATAGAATTTACTCAAAAAAGAAAAACGAATAAGGTGGGTATATATATTAGGGGTTACCAATTACCATGTTGGTCTTGGGCCGGAAAAATTTTAATAATCACCCATTAACAATTGCGTTGAATGGCCCAGTATTATTTTTATTTAGGGTAAATTTTAAAATAGTCTTCTCTAATAAGGTATTCCCTCCGTTTCTTAAAATGATTCTTGTTTTGACTTTAGGACAAAATAAGAAAAGTGTAATTTTAGTTGACTTTACAATTTTGCCCTTAATGTGATGGTAAAAGTAAGATGTGATAGTTTAGTTATTAGTGAAAAAGTATGATATGATAGGTAGGGTATGAAAAAGTAAGGGTAAAAGTGGTTTTTTAATCAAAAAAGGAAATTTTTAAGAAAAACAAAAAAATAAAAGTAGAAGGGTTTTAAGAAACGGAAGGAGTATCTTTTTGAGATCAGTCCTTAATAAGTTTTAATTACCTACGTGGTCTATTATAATAGATATTTATTTCCCAAATAGTTCTTTGTAAATACTATTTCTCATTTGATGATTAATTAAGGGCTATTTTGGTATTTTTTATCAGCTAAATTTAGAATAAATTCTTAAAAAATCATTTCTAATAATTTGTTTTTCCAATATGATTGTTTCTAATTAGATATGTGTATTTGATTCGAATTTTAAAAGATTTTTTATAATAAAAGAATAGGACCTTAATGTCAAATACTCCCACTAAAATTGTGTCTGATATATGACTAATTTTCCCGTCCTTAAAAGTCTTTCATCTTTCTATTTTTGTCCCGCAATTATTTTCTCTTATTCTATTAAAAGATTACTTTTATCTCTACTAATTTTTATTCTATCTATCATATTATACATTCTCTAATAATCTACGCATCAATCCTACTTTTACTTACCCCTCATTGAAGATAATTTAGAAAAGTCAATACAAAAATACAACTCCCTCAAACATCAAATTGACTTAACACAATTAGGTTGCACACTGCAACATTTAGTTTAATTTGCGACGGGATATTTGCTACGGACTTTTTCCGTCACAAATTGCGGAGATTTTAAAATTGGGGAAAAATTCTCGGGAGAAAGACCAAAGTAGGACTAAAACATTGAAGATATACCAAAATAGGACTTCCATGTTTTTATTCCCGAAATAGGACTTACATTACCAAACATGGTCATATACATTACCAAGAAAGTACAGTAATTTGCACATGTACACTGCCACATTACCACAATGCAAAGTCACATTACCACAATGCAAAGTCCTATTCCGGGGAAAAAAACATGAAAGTCTTATTTTGGTACTTTTCTCTATGTTTTAGTCCTATTTAGGATGATTTCTAAAAATTCTCTTGTATTTCTTATAATTTACAATATACAGAAATGTCGTATATATAGGGTCTCACGGCATGAGACCTAATATGAAAACTATCAACCATAAAAAATAAATCACTATACAAGGAAACTATCAAAAGAAATATATACGAAAATATAATCAGATATTCCCTTTCCTTCTTTAACATATTTAAATTCAAGTTATTATTATTTATTTATTTTTCCATTTATGCTCAGAAAAAGATGACTTTTAGGCTCTGTTAGCTTATTCGGATACGGGTATAATACGTCTATTCGTACGTTCGTGTATAATACGGATCAATTTTTTAAAATACGTCTTATTATACATTTTATACGTTCGGAGTACGTATACGGATACGTTCGCGTATTATACGTTTGGTTTTTCAAAAATACGGCTTATTATGAATGCATATATTTTTAATAAGAAACACATTTTAAACTTTGAAATTGAATACAAATACATCATAAAGTTCTAAAAATTTAACTAGCACTACGATTTATTTTTTATCAATTTTTCCATGTGTACCCAAAGGAGATCTTTCAATCTAATTATTATTCTGTACTTCCACAAAATGTATTCAAAGTAAGAACACATTCTGAAAAATGAAGCCAACATTTAGATATGAATAAAGCATTTAAGACATGACAAAATTTATATTATTAGACAATTTATGTTTTACAAAATTGATTAAATGTTTATCATGAATTTAAAAGGAAGATTTAAGTCTCTTTATAATTTAAATATGAACTTTCTAAATATTGTGTTACAAAATTTAAAGTTGAGTAAAATTAAATTTAGTTTAAATTTTTTATTTTTAGAATACAAAAATTTAGGTACGAACTTAGATTTTTTGAATTTAGATTATACAAATAAAATCAAATTTGTATTTTTAAATGTGGAAAAATATTTAATCTTAAGAACTAAATATAAAAAATTGATCACGTTTTCAAAATCTAAACAAATAGAGAAAATGTTGTTCTCTACTATTCGCTAGTGCAGATGCAATGTTGAACTTTCAGCCGGACGAAGTCGAAGAAACTAGTAGAGTGTGGGTGACAATGGGTGACATTTTATTAACAAAAGATATTGATGGATGACTTGAACTACGATCTGACTTTTAATACTTTTATATTAATTGAATCACCAAATTTTATAGATTTGTATTTTTGCAGAAAGACAACCAATTTATTTGATCTCATCTAAACTTTACCCCAATGATTTTGCAATATAATACATATAAAATTCGTAAATACGTTTGGGGTCAAAAATACGTGTATTATACGTTCGTCCTATTAAAAATTCGGATTCAGGAGTATAATACGCGTATCATACGTACGGGTGTATAATACGCTTATTATACGCGAATAAGCTAACAGAGCTTTTAGGTTAGTTTTAAAATTGTTAGCAACAAGATCAATTTAACGTGACAAATACAGGTACAATCGAACGTGAGAGAGAGCAGATTTATGCCTAATTGCAACACTTGGAAAACATGGTGTGTACGTATTAAACTTCCTTTTTTAGTCCACTCTAAAAATGCATAAAGAAAGCTCTTCAACTAAACACATGTTTTTTTAATACTACGGAGTATATATAATAATTCAAAAAGTTCAACAATATTATAAATACTAAACACGTCTTTTGTCACATTTTTTGTCGCAAATTGTAATTTGAAACTTTTGTGACAAATTCTTAATCATGAAATTTGTCACGGAATATGATCCACGTCGAATTTCAAGTGATAAGTCTGTTGTCGACCAATTGTTGAAATATGTGCCATCAATTGTTGATTTTGTACCGCTGATTGTTGTTCAAAAATGATCTTGAGCTGATTGTTCTATGAATTCTCCATGTATGATCCTTGTTCCTATTGGAATTGATTTCTCATTTTAGCCAGGATTGAATCGTGCTCAGATAATTCACAGATTATGGTTTATCAATGAAAGAGTAGATCAGAATTTCATAGATTGAAAACCTGATTTGAGTGAGAAATTCATCAGCGTCCAGCATCCATCCTTTATCTGATTGCTCTGTTACCAATGTAAGTGTTCAATGTAGGAGGGTTCAAGAATGGAGAAGAACCCTCGAGGATGATGCTAGGGTTGAGAATTAGTGAAAGGATTCTCAAAAAATTAGAAGAGTTTGAGAGGAATGAGAACAACAATGGACTAGGAAGAGAGAGATCTAATTTGGTATTTGTAACTTGTTTACCAGTCCAACGATGTATATAAAGACTAAAATATGTAACTAAATCTATAACAACCGCCAGCTAAGCTTGGGGTTAGCTACACTGCAACAAAATACTTGCAAACATTATATAAATGAAAACTAGAAGTAGAAAGCAAGAATTGGAACAAAAGTAAATAGTACGTACAATTTAATGATTACTTCGTGTTTAGAAAAATCTCTGAGTTTTAGCCCGATGTACCAGAAAAGACTTTTTCCAAAAACAAAAAATAATACGGTAATAAAAGTGCAATTTGCTTATTGTTGGTCATCACTATATGACAAAAACTGCATTGTTTAATTTTAGCATTTTGAAAAAATTATACTCTTCCATCCCTATAAGATTAAGATTGGCACTACACGTAAAACCAAGTAAAATTTCAAATTTATCAATTCATTTTATTTAAAGATTAGTGTAGAAACAAGAAATGAAACATATATATCTAAAAAGTACATCAAAAGTTCAACGGAGTATCAAATAAAAAGAGACAAGAATATTTGATTTTATCAAATTATTAATAAAATACACAAATAAATAAAAGTTTATGCTACTTTAAAATAGTGTTTTCCATTATCTCCGATGGAGCCAAAATTTCACCATTTTTGGCTTTGGGGTGTGATGGAATAAATCAAAATGGATCTCTAAACTATCTGCGCTTCTTTAATTAATGAAGTAGCAGTTAGTCAAACAATGCAACTTTCGACGTTGAGCCGGGGGTCTCTTTAGAAACAACCTCTCTACTTTCGAGTAGGGGCAAGGTCTGCGTACACACACCCTCCCCAGACCCTACTCTTGTGGGATTTAACTGGGTTGTTGGTTGGTTGGCTACTTTAAAATAGTGAAAGACTTCCAATCTTTTCGGGATGGAGATGGTATAACGACAATGTTTAAGAACATCACATTGTCTTGCCACTAAAGCTCTGTTTTTTCAGTTGGAAACAGTTGGAAAAAATTAACTTTCAACTTTATCTAATCCATACATTTTTTCCAACTCTTTCGAATTTCTTCCAACAACGACTTAAAAAAAAAAGGAATGGTGAGCATTGAAATTTAACATGTTCAGAAAACAATGAATCTGGCCTCAATCTGCATGTAGCATTTCCCGAACAGCCAAGCGGAGAAACTCACCTCACCGGATTTCTTTGATAAAGGGCTTCCCGGCGCTTTCTGTTTTCTCCTCCTTCCGGAAACTAGTTCCATTGCCAACATATCCCATGGTTTGGCTCTTCTCTACATTCACAATGGCAGCTATGGAAGACCACACTTCCCCTATCTGATCATGAACCCAACACATCATGTAATAAACCTTCCTCTCGGCCAACCTAAGCTTTTTCTTCATCTCCAACTTTTCAGACTTGCACTGTTTACTATCTGACTTGAGTTCTTCCACGGCCGATTGAAGCAGGTTCTGCATATCGCAAAGCAAGCAAACTAATGCCGAACCACCGAGATTGAGAAGTTCTATCACGTCTTCCATGAGTCTGAACCCAAATTGTGGGCCACCCATATGTCGAAAGGGAGGGGAACACGTTTGCTCCAGACAATATGACAGAGCCTCCAATATGGTCTCTGGCTGTGCTGCAGCTTGACCAAGAACATGAGACAGGCTGAGCAAAACCATGGCAGACCCGCTAGGATCTGATTTCCAGTCGCCATTGTAAATACGAAGGGTGAAACAGTAGCTATATACAATGTCAACCAGGTGAACTGCCAATAGTGGGGATGGTGCAGAAGCACTCAGCTTACTGACTGGGGGTAAAGGCGATTCAGGGCCAGCCGGAATGTCCTGCAAAACATCCACTTCTTGCTGCTTTTCAGAAGAAAGTGGCTGGACTAGTTGAGTTCCATCCCGGCCGAGAGAGATATATTTGGCTGATGGCTTGGTCCACCATGGTTCCCATGGCTCTATCAATTTGCTCAACTCTCCAGAGGCTATTGCTTTGTGGTAACGTTGCTGTTCTTCAACAGATAAATCATCAATACTTATATCACTTCCTGGGATTAGATTGAAATGCAACACATTAGTTGAAAGGAAAAAAAATCAGTGATATACACATCAAATGCAAATGGCCTTACCTGATAAGACCTTTTCAATAGTTGCTTCTGACAGTGAGAAATCTGGTTCTGATGCAAATGACATGAATGCAAATAATTAGATGGAAAAAATTGGAAAAAGATCTAAAGACAATACTCTATAGCATAAATGGCATGCCAACCTTTATTTTGATGCAAACTAGAATAACATGAAAGTTGGCACGAGTTAATGCTAATAATCTCATATAAACAAATTCGAGTAATGGGTAGCTGGCTTTCATGACATTACCATACCTAAAGTCCCCAACTTGAATTCTTTCCATTAAACGTGTATGACTTTAAATATAAGGTCATTCAGTCACATGACTAACATGTGAGTATGTGACATTTAGGAACGGGCAGATTTGTCCATACAAGTGAATGGGCTGGGTTCTTATGACAACAGGCTTCAGTGTCATATTATGCCACTCGGCCATTTGGGGACCGTGCGCATCGTTGGGTCTGGGCCAGGGGATGGGTCGGGGTGCGGGTCAGGGGGGAGGGCGTGTTGTGGGGGTGGGAGGGTGGCTGACATTGGGAAACATGAAGGGGATGGGGTAGGAGGGTAGGGTGGAGGCTCTGGAGGGGGTGCGGTTTGGGAAGTAGGACCAGGTTTCAAATCCATCGCAGCACCGTAGGGCCTCCAAATGGCCTTAGTGTCATACTATATATAAAATCACCAGACACATGAATATGTCCCCATATATACTCATTCAAATCACAGGTTTGGGGTGTCAACAACGCAAGCTTAAGACATTCAAATGACAAAGAAAGATATATCTGGAACAATGTAACAACATTACATCAGCATTGCGGGGTAAGGGGGTCGGATGTCCTATGTTTTTAAAACATAGAGCAACGGTTTTCACTCACCCATGTTGAGCGTCGAAAGGACTTCACTATAAGAGAAGCACATAGAGTTTAAAGAGTCATTTTGCTTTTTCCATCACTCCTCAAAAAAAAAAAGTAAATCTTTGGCTCCATCAGAGATTATGGAAAAAAAGCACATAGATTTTGCTTTTTATTCTCAATTATTTTTACTCATTTAACTAAGGCTCCGTTTGGAAACACGGAAAATGACTTGGGTAAGTCATTTTCCATATTTTCTGCTGCTTGGTAAGCTACGGAATTTGGAGTCAACGGAAATCACTCTCATAGTCAGCGGAAATTGAAACCTAATATTAGGAAAACGACTTCCGCTCCGTAAACCCAGAAGTCATTTTCCGCTTTGTCCATCATCTTCTTCTCTCACATTTGCCTTCATTTTCTTCTCTCGTCTATGCCTTCAATATCGTTCTTCATCATCTCTCTGTTAATTTGCCTTCCTTTCTCCCCTCCCTCGCACCTTCCTCTCTCGTTCTACGGACTCCTAGGGCTTTCTTCTTCTCAATGTCTCCCCTTGCTTGCACCTTCCTCCAAACGCCATAGCCGGCTTCTTCCACCAAAAAAAACTAATTACTCCGTGTTTCTTCTCTTCTTTTTTTTCGACAACATTTTTCTTCTCTTTAATCGCACAATTTTTTCAATTATTGCTTGATTTTTACAGGATTGTGGTGAGTCGGCAAATTGCAAAGTGGCATGTCATCTGAAAATATTTTCTTTGCGAATTGGGATGTCGTCTGCAAATTTTAATTGGCAAATTGATTTTTTCTTGATAGAAGGGAATGATTCCTAACCAAAAAAATTGTTTACCTTTTCCATAAAGTAGGTTTTCTTGACGTACAAAGGAATGATATCATTTTGGATATTCTTTTTTTCAGAAAATGAACCAAACATGAACACATAATTTTCAAACTTCTAACCAAACAATGGAAAAGGAAAATGACTTCAAGAAAATAACTCATTTTCCAGAAGTCATTTTCCACGAGTTACTTTCCTGGTTTCCAAACGGACTCTAAGATAAAAACTACTCTATAAAACTAAGAACAAAAAGGAAAAGACCAGGTCCAGCGTGCAAGAACCAAAAACTACCGGAATATAGCATAAAGTATAAATAACATAGAAAATGTAATTTATACTGTTGAGTGTTGACACTACAAAACATTACTTACCATCGTCATCCATTGATTCCATCTCATCCTCTGTATGCAATCGTTTTAGTATGTCCACCATTTTCTTTTTACTTTGATCATCTGATTGTGATAGTTGCAGCTCCCCCATAACATTTTCCCTCATAAAGGATTCAGTACAGCGAAGGCTATGAGACTGAAAAGTAAGACACATATATCAATAGAATGTGTCCATGGATAAATGTCAAAGGCCGCATACAATCAAACTGTCCTAGAAGAAATGAGGCTTTCATCATCACCTTATAACACTGAAGAGAACAATAACGCGTGTTGCATCGAGGGCAGGTGTATAGTGAAAATTGCTTTTGACATCTGAAGAAGCAAAAATGTATATTAAAAATTCTATAAAAAATAAACACTCGTGTACGTATTTGCCTCAGATTTAC